ATGCTTGGCTGGCACTGCAGCTACTCTTTGGAAGTGAAGTAAATCTGAGCGTGTGTGATTAATGATCTGTATGTAAGTGGGATTAACCATTAAGAATGTGTTTCGGCACTAACACAATGTGTGTTCAGGCAGTTGTGTTTCAGAGTGTGAGCTGCATGTGTACAGTATGATTGTCTTTTGGACATTTTATTCAACGTTTGCTGACTTGCGTAATGCTGAGCAAACAACAGAGCACAAAAGGCAGGCGGTCATGCTGTCCTGACTTCCCGCGCCTTAACTGCCAAACAGAGCACAGTGTTAGAAGATGTCAGGGAAGTAAGGGAAGGGAAGACAAGGGATAAACAGAGAGAAAAATAAGTCAAAAAACAACGAGCGGTAGAACAAGCTGCATCTTTATTTAGCTGTCCACTTTAAGAAACACTGTCACTTTCTATCAAGTTCCACCGAATGCATCTCTTCCATTAATTGAGGATAAACACATTTGAAAACCCTTCTCTCTTCACTCTCTCGGTCTTCCTGCTAACAAAGCGCCAGCTCCCTTGCAGGGGATGAAGTCAAGTTTTGTATGGCTGGACTTGTCAAACTTAATCTAGTCAGATAAAAAACAAACACCTTTGCTGGAGCACTACAAGCTGCAATGCTCTCTGTTTACTGTCCTAGAAACAAACCGGGTCAATTTCATCTCAACATTTTGATGTCATTCAGTACATCATCTAATATCTCCCACAATTTATAGTTGGACACTACTTTTAAAGAAGATGGTATTTACAAAGGTTCTGAGAGAATGAAATAAAGAAACACAACAGCAGCTAATTAACAAGGTTCTTAATAATATATCCATACTGACACTTTACATAATTAGACCATCATCTATCATTTCTTAGTTCCTTATCCGAGTGGAAGTTCTTCACACAGACTATTTATTATGTTTGCCCTTGTAGGCATTAAAAGGTGATAATTGATTCTTTAGGCGAAGTAGAAAGCACGGATAACTCCATTAATCATAAAAGACACTACTGTAACTCAAGTGGAATATGAAAACCAGTCATGTTCCTCAACAGAGAATGTTTTTTAAGTATGTATGCTTCTGTGAAACAAGGGACCCTGATCTTAAGAGATGTCAAACAGTTTAGCCCTCTGAATTAGTTTAATTTATGTATGAGAGGATTACTGTAATATAGACAGTTCAAGCTGTATACAGTATGTTGCTTTCAAATATGTGTTACCCGTTTCATATATTAACAGCGATATTCCTGTATCAGTTTCAGCATGTAAAGCCGTACAGTACTTCAGGTGGACTTAAAAAAAACAGAATGTCTTGTGCATTTATTTAGCTGGCTGATAGTTTTGTGTTTTACCATAAACACATGTGTCTCTTCTTGTCTAACCTACACATCCTGACATCTGACTGGCCATCTGCAACCTCTTCACCTTCCATGCTCGACTGCCTCCATATTGCGCGGACTTCCAGGAGCGACATTGCACACCGCTCCATTGGTTTTACACGAGACACGTAGTAGGACCGGCCAAACTGCAGCACAATCAATTGGTTTTTAATGCTTTGAGTAGGCCCAAGAGCTCTTGAAGCGCGCATGCTTGGGTAATTTGACGTGATTCACTGAGTTGGTGACAGGCTGTGTGTGTGTAAGGGGCGGTCTAGTGTGAATGTAGCTCATAGTGGATATGGACGCGGGTCATAAAGGGAGACAGATTGGTAGCTATGATCCAGTGACGGCGGTGACAGCTGGGGTTAGCAACTAGCAGCCGTTTGGTGACAGAGAGAGCCGCTGGAACACAATGGGGACGGGGCCATGGGGGCGGAAATGGCCACATGGCTACTTCTGGCATGAAGGCATGATTAGATGTAGACCCCAGTAAAATGTGGCTACTGGCTAGTGGCTGCTGCCAATGGCTCCAAAAGGGCCTCATGACATAAGGCTGAAAGATGGAGGGCCATCAGACAGCAGTATGGGCTAGTTGGGAGTGACCAGAATGGACCACACATGGCACCATATTACAAAAACAGTGCACACACATATGTATCAACATGAGCAGATACATGAACATAGACAATGAGGCTTTGTACGTCTGGATGTGACAGACGACAGACCATAACAACATGTGACAAGAGAGTCTGAGAAGGTGCCAGAAGATGTTGTGCTCATGTAAATAAACACACACATTGGTGTGGTAGATGTTAGGACACAGACATATACTAATGTGCATGACACAGGTATACAGACACCTTTGAACATGATGAGAAGTTCAACTTTTGGAAATCTTAGTCATTCTTGTTGTGTTTCTCGTTATAATGCCTAACACACATGGCATTGTCACTTTCACAGGAAGACTCAGATGGAAAAAATGGTTAGCTTGTTAGCAAACAAACTTAAATTCTGTGTGAAATAAGAGTTATCCAGAAAGTGCAGCACTTGAAAAGTAACAGGCAGCGGCAGGGAAGAGAAGGATGGGTGAGTTATTCGTAGAGCGGGTGTTCGCGTGGCTGAAAAGCAAAGAGTGGCTTGGAGCGCAGCTGTATATAAATGTGTGTGTGTGTGTGTGTGTGTGTGTGTGTGTGTGTGTGTGTGTGTGTGTGTGTTTGTGTGTGTGTGTGTCTCTAGAGCTGGTGGCCTGCTGCGACCAGATTACATGTTCACTGTCCCACAGCGGGAGTGGAAGGGAGATGGGTAGGACTGAGTGGAAAATGGCCACAGCGTGGAGCCACGGCTGGTTGAGTACTCCTTTAGTGAGTGAGTGCTGGACCATCAGCTGTGGTGTCCAGTGCTTCCCAATGTGTTAAATCGCAAGCATGACTCAGGCTAACAATGCTATTCACACTTTTATGGTTGCTTAATGTAATCATCATTTTTAACGAAAGTAGCAGAAGCAGCAAGCTAACAGAAATTACAGGAAAATATGAGTAAGGTAAATTGGATTTTGGGGATTTGCACCATAGGAAAAATTTCCTTTTAGGTTTATTCCATCCTACAACAAAAAAGCTGATTAACGGCTAATGCTCACACAATTGGTTTATTTAAAATAAGACATAACATGTATATTTTTCCCAAATACAATTTAAATTAGTCATATAGACAATGTATTTATATCATATTATAATATAATTATTATATTATAATTATTTATATCATCATGATGAGGCTTTCAGATTGATATTTGTGAACTATACGCTGTGGGAAAGTTTTTTAGCATCTAAAGACAGATTCAACATATCACTTCTGTTTACTACACAGCACTGCAGCAGATCATTCCCAAATTCAGAAGTCTGAATAGCATGGCATTAACTTTTCACCTGCAGGCATTTTCATTGAATCATTAGCAAAGAATAGTGAACTTTTATACAGCAGCACAAGTTAAATTATTGTGCTGTGTGGTTAATTAAAGGTAACTTTAGTGAAATGACTCATAACTCACGTTACATTTAGGGTAACAAAGATTTTTTTCCAGCTGGGAGGAGACTAAGGGGCAGACCCAGGACCAGTTGGAAGGATTATAGTGCCTTGGAATCCCCCAGTCAGAGCTGGTTGATGTGGCCAGGGGAAAGGGAAGTTTGGGGCCCTCTATACTGAAACTGCTACCTCTGCGACCGACTCGGAAAAGCGGTCGAGGATGGATGGATGTTTCTTTTTAAATAACTTTCTGCATTAGTCAAATGATACAACATGTAGAATATTCTTATTATACTGTGTAGTGTACTATAATACACTTCATAGTATTACAGCACACTTCTGACTACTCTTCTGTATGTAATAGCAATCTATATTGTACTGCAGGGCACTGTACTGTAGCAAACTTTCATTAGGATGTGTCTTTTGCTCATTTTTGAATATGAAACACTAAACCTGTTTGGCCATTGTAAAGAATCATATTCACGAGCCCTTGTCTGGTTCAGAGCAATGGAGAATAAATTACACTGAATTTTTTTTCAGGGCCAAGAAAAGCCGCAAGCAAACATTTAAGCCTCTGGCACAGTGATTAGAAACCTTTAAGCAACAAACATGAGAACACTAACTAGGATCAGCAAAAGCTCAACCTAAAAACCATTCCATAAATCACTTAAGTGTTTGGTTGCTACAAAATAAGCAAATCTGGGATGTATTCCATACCGTGCTGTTGGTATGTTACAAAAAAACATGACAAACACCAGTCTATTAACCATTCTGAAATGTACAAATGTGTTGTCTGGCTTAAAACTGAAATACCCATCACATTTCAGTACAAGTAGTAAAATATGACTTTACCAGCGAAGAAAAAATAAAATGCAAAAAAACCCTGTGTGGATATTCTGCACACACTGGGTGACATAAAACATATTTTTTGGACTTTTAGGGAACCAATGTTCTGTACTCTTATATAGGGTTGACTGAATACCATTGGAAGTCATATAACTACCTCAATTCTACTGTTGCAGACTGTGCTGCCAGTGAAGCAAATCTAATTAATAATATGTTTTTCCCTGTCTGCAGTCTACACTGGTAACCCAGAGCAACAGTACACAGCCCGTCTGTATTGTGCTGTGGTCTGGTAAATGATGCTGAATCGCTTCCTGGTACATCCAACACCTATAAACTCCCAACCTTGGTATACTTTGGAAAACAAAAAAATGGGGTAATGTGCATTCATGGAGCGGTGCACTATAAACTAATTGCAGGACAAAAGTAGTGTAATGATTTAGCTATAAGATGTTTATTTTATGTGGTGCTGTAATTCTATGTGCATAAGGAATGTGGTTTTCCAGACCTGGATCTGATCAGCAGTATTTCTCGGAATGTAAAAATATGCTCCATGTTGGAATCTATTTTCAGCAGGAACATGAAATACATTTCTTTTAACGAGTTCCTTCTAAAGCCTTTCAACAACTATGGAAAAAAACACTGCGCAAAAAGAAGAAACTAAAAACAAACCAACCACATTTTTATCCAAGCCTTGGCAACAGTGGAGAGTCAGGGGCAGTTACTGCAGGTGAATGGGAGAGTACTTACTGTAGGTTGCATAACATATTGTTGATGAGGCATCCATGACGTACTCTGGACCTGAAGAGAAACACATAAAATGTTAAATGACGCCGACAGTATACATTTTACACAATCTGAAACAAATCCAAGTATTGGCTCACATAAAGCAATGAACCCTGTTCAAATATTCACAATACGTTCAAATATTAAGGATGATTGCATTGGTTTTAATGCACCAAAACGGCTGAACTTTACACAGATTAAGTTGTACCAAAGAAGTCTGGAGGCAGCAAATCTCCCTCCTGCCTTCTCATTATTGCCAACAGTCTGACTTGTGCATGAAGCCCATCAATTTGTTTCCTTCTCTGTTATAATAATAATTCTAAAGCTGTACCCAGTGCTGTTGCAAGAGGGGTGAAACATTGTGCAACTTTGAGGGACAGGCAGCTAGGGAGAACTATACAAAATCAGGCAGGAATATTTAAAATAATTTAAGAGTGATGGATAGAATGTTTTTGTGGATCCTAAGTCACAGGTACGTCCAGCTATAACCAAGAGATAACATATACAGACATGCATATTCACAAACGATAAAGTAAAACAGTGACAGAGACAATGATCAAGAGACTCGGGAATGGAGGAACAAACAGAGCTTTTAGATGTTTTGGAGAGAGGAATTAGACAGCTTGTAGCAGACAAACACACAGGCTGGCCACTGATCCTGGTAAAATGATTAGATTAAACAAAGACAAACATGGGATAATCTGCCTTAAGAGCCACCAATCCTCTGTGCCAACCCAAATGCGTGATTTGGATCCACACATAAATAAGCTTGATATTCCATAACATGAATCCAAGTCTGTTTGTTTGTACATGGCGGTATTTGTTCACCCCAGCTGAACGGGACAGCAGAGAGACACAGAGAAAGCTTATCTTTAATCACTTATCTTCATGCAAGACACTGCATGACCCTCATGTGATTTGTTTAATAGAGAGACTTAGGAATTATATTCAGACTTAAGGCCCCCAAATTATACGTGATTTTGGGCTGTCCCAGATAAACGTTGAGACATGGTTGGCTGTAAATAAAAAACGGTGGTTTATATTATAAAATGCGTCCACTCATGGCCGATTTAGTGGCTTTGGTGGCTAAAAAATTGATTGATTACGACTCTGACCCTTGTTTGCATACCGACGAATCAGAAAAAAAAAACGAATGACGCCAAATAAACTAGTGAGCTAGTCTAATGCTTAACACATATTAACTGTTTTTGGCTTACTCCAATGCAGTGCTATGGTATATTAGAGATGTTTTGCACCATATGAGATGCCTCAAAACTAATGTTTACAGTCTTATAGAGAATGTGAACCTGATTAAGATTGGACCCATCTTGCATTTCGATTCTCGATAGTTTTAGATTTAATCAATAGTTTGCATTGGTAGAAAGCAGAATAAGTAGCAGCAGAAAATATCTTAACAGGGATGTACTACTGTTTGGTGCTGCTTCTTACTACAATGGATAACTTGGTATTTGAAATCGTTGTAGAGTAACAGAACTCTTGGAATTCAGAGTTGCACAATATTATATTTTCCATTTTCTTCTTTGCTGCTAAAATGTTCGCTGTCATAACTTCTGCCTCCACCAATGCCAGTTTGATTGGAATGCATGATGTGGAGATCAGAGTATTTGGACTCATAGTTCCACTTCATTTTTCCACACAAGTTGACATAACAACAGTGCATTGTGTGTCAAAGAGGCTCATGCTGCTGCCTGAGAAAGTGCAGCCTTCCTCTAAAATGGAAACATGGCCCAAAGGTAAAAATGTAGAATAATAAAAAATTTACCAGACAGCCGCAGGCAGAGTGCTATCCAGACCGTTTGAGATGAAAAATGCAGAAATCAGAGATCCAGAAGACTTTGCTTCTGAGGACATGTCTTGACTGACTTGGATGTACCCCAATGGGCCTAAAACAGATCTGATAACGTGACTTTTTTGTTATTCTACATACAGTAACAACAGTTAGTCAAATACAGGTATTCTGTAGCTAAAGTAGGTTTAGTGTGAGTGAACGGTATAATGTTCCTGACCTAAGAAGCTCCCTACCTCTGGCTGAACTTCACAGCTTGTGTTACCGTTTATGAAAGCCTTTCGGTAAACAAGCCAAAAAGTACATTTATCAGCCAGTTGGCCACCCACCCATCGAACCAGTTAACTGGTTAGTGCGCCAGCCAGCCACACATCCAAGCAGCCAGCCACATATTTAGTCAGCCAGTGAGCCGGTGTGCAGAGCAAGTGATGTAAACCAGGCCACGGCTGGCTTGCGGCACTAGCTGAGATCTTGGTAGTGATCTGGCCCTGGCTGGCTGCTGTCATGTGGATCATCAAAGCATTTTTCCAGGAAACAAAGCCAATCATCATTCAAGCTCACCGGAGGCAGGCTTGAAAGAACACCAGAACATTGCAGTTGGCACGGGTCATTTGCAGATTTGATAAATCAATGCCACCAAGCAAGAATCTAAGAAATATCCACTCAACATAAACATAAAAGAGGGAATGGCATATGCAGTCATTGCATATGCCATCTTGAGGTTTTCATTACAAAAGGCAAATAGTTTCCATCATAAAAGGAAGCGATTTCCTTTTGTCTGGCATATATGGCTGCCTGGTTAGTGTTCTCCTTTTCTTATCCCTATGTCTCTTTGTACTTCAACAGAAGATGAAGGACTCACCTTCCTGCCGTGACTGGCTGAAGGGCAATATTACAGGAAGCGGTGGCAGAGCTGCCTGATATTGAAACTGTGAGGATTAATATTCCTCAAAAGCCCGGGCATTGTTTTTGATAAATCAATTTGGGAAGCCTTCCGAGAGCGGATTAGAGACGCGTCCTGGCCCACTTTTCTCCCTCCTCCTCTTCCCACTACCTCTCCACCACAGGTACTGGACCAGTTTTAATCAAGCGCGCCTCAAAGACGGGCACAGCAACCTTCAGCAACACCCCTTCCTCTGCCCCCCTACCCGAGCCACCGCCATCACTACCACCCGCACTATCTCTCCTCCTCTCCGTAGTTGTCTGTCTCTCCATCTGTCCCCTTTATCCCCCCCATCTATCCTTCATCTCTTCTCTCTTGCTCACCTTCCTCGTCTGTCTGACTCTGCATACCAAACAGAGCCGATGTTAAACGATAGTGTCTGAGCGAGAGGGCACAGTGGCAGTGCCTCTTGATGTTTAGATTTGGCAGAGGGATGCTGCGTGAAATGTGACGGGAAAACGGTTAACGCTCTTGACATCTAACACAGTCAGTTTTCACGTTCCTGTTCTGTTCGCTTTCATTACTCCACAGCCGTGAGTAATGCAGAGTTTCACTTTGTATCCAAGTTATTAAAAAAATACAAAGATATAACTGCTTTATTGCGTTAGCAGCTGAGGGAGCACAAAAGAGGTCAGAAAACTGGGAGGGACAAAAGTGTTTTTTTCGTTAGACACTTTCAGTCTTGGTGTGTGATTTTATTTGTTCTACCCTGTCAGCTTTTCTTTTTTAAATCACTTTTTTCTATTGCTTGTTTTCTGATGCCTGTTGTGTTTGCCGCCTACGGAACAGATGTCATTGAGCACAGCTGGAGCAGCGAAGAAACGATGAGAGAAGATGAGAGAACCTCACGCTGTTTTGCAGCCCGCCCCCTCTCTTCCATCCCCTTACGCAAAGCAAACCCTCATATTACACACACACGGGCAGCAAGTGCAGTGCATTATGGCCCACCTGATATGTGGAAACAGGGGAAGCAGCAATGAAGGGCGTGATGGAGGTCTGTGCAATCATGCGGTTGGTGGCGATGCTGTAAGGCGAGGAGTAGAACCTGAGTAGAGGGAGAGAAAGAAGGGAAGGAGGGAGGAGAAATTTGAAGTAGAAAGGGTGTAAAAGGAAGGGAAGAGGACAAAGCAACGAGTTTGTCAAATTCAAAATAAATGTATAGAACATAATGTCAACAATACATTCTGTAACACACACACACACACACACACACACACACACACACACACACACACACACACCTTTGTTATCGTATAAAGAAGGAGATTGTCTGTTTTTTTCCAACTTGGATTCTAGTATTAAGGCTACACTGTACCATGCCGCCTGTAGACTGAGCTTGGGAAAAACTCAATGCATTTCAAGAAAGTAAGGTTTGACATACGCAGCAGAGTAGCGAGGGGGTCTTCCGCGCTACTTTACTTTATCTCACTGCAAGGTTTAAGAGCATCCCAGTGTTGCTGTGATCCCCTGGGAGGCATACAGTAGTGGAGCGTCCAATGGTTTCTTCCATCTGATCTCAAGATCATATTACTGGTAGAGGATATCAGGCAATGTATATACTAGGCTTAACAGCCCCATATACGATCCAGATCAGACAGACTGTGACGGTGCGTATTACTTTATGTTTGAACTCAAGAGTTTCTTTTTGGATATTTATAGTCTTTTTATGTGTCCCTACAAATCCCTTGAATGGAAAAAATAAATTTGATGAAATAATATATTTATTTCTCTCTTCGCAGTTTGATTTCATTTTCTGTATGTTAAAATAAAATATTTTTTTTGCAGTTTTACAGTTCATTTTGACACAAAGGCAGACAGGTTTGTGAAACCCTAAACAAGGAATACAAAAACAACAACTCTGAAAACAGTACATATCTTTGAGTGAGACACTTAAATGGCTTTCAGAGTTTTGTTTTTCAAGGTGATTTCCTATTACATTTCTCAAAGTTATTGAAGTGAATGTTATTTAGTATATATTGATTGTTCTGCTTTTATTTATGTCTTAATGTGTATGTTGATTGTGTATATAGGTATAAACATATTTGTATACATATTTTTATATATTTTTGTTATTGTATTCGGGATTGTGGGAAACAGTATTTTGATCTCTCTGTCTGTACACACAATACAGTTGACTTTGACTTGACTTTGAAATTACTCCTCTATGAAAGTGTATAGATACATTTATTGAAATGCTAATGAAAACAATCTTTTTTTGTATTCAGTCCCTCTATAGTATATATGTGGATAATTTGCATCATCATTTTATTTCAAATTTGCATATCCAATTAACACTGCGGGCCCACCACCCTCTGGGACTGACATTGGGGTCAGGTTCTGGCATCGCAGACTTGGACAGGGTCTTAAAGTTTAGAGTAGAGATGAGTGTCTGGTTTGAAGGTATCAGAATTGTTTTGCTGCTCCTTGCATGGGATGCTGCATTATTGACGCAACCTTTGGCACATACTAAGGCGGTTTGAGTCCAATGTGAGGCCCCGGGCTGAGAGTCAGCTCCTCTGAGTCTGAGGCCCTGGAAAACGTTAAATTGCTACGTCAGGGTTGAAATTGAGTTGCTGCGCCAAAGGAGGGGTACAAGGAGATATAGGACTATAAGGTAAATTGGAGCGACAAATCATCAGGCATGTTGGTTTGGTGTCCGAGTCAGTAGGACAAGCTTTACATTTACCAGTCAATCGCTCCCATCCTTACCTATGGCCATGAACTATGGATAGTGACCAAAAGAATGAGATTTCAGATACAAGCAGCCAAAATGAGTTTTCTCTTTAAGGTGGCTTGGGTCACTCTTAGAGATAGGGTAAGAGCCTAAACAGGGGAGAGCTCAGAGTAGAGCCACTGATCAAGATGCCTCCTGGACACCTTCCTTTGGGGGTTTTCTATCTGGTAGGAGACCCCGGGTTAGACAGAGTACATTCTGGAGAAATTACCCTATATATCGACTCTGGCTTGGGAATACCTCGGAATTTCCATTAAGTGCTGCAAAACATTAGCTGGGAGCGGGGAGGTCTGGACCGCCTCACTTAGCCTGCTGCCACCAAGACTCAGCCTCGGATAAGCAGCAGAAAACGGATGGATGGATAATCCAATTTGCATTTGAATTTTTATGTACCAGTAAGCACAGTCTGACAAATGTGGAGTGGTATTTCAGTTTGACAATTTAAGTTCAACTGCATTTTTATTTTCTACTTCGCATTAACATCTGAATTTAATTGACAATAGCTTCTACAATCTTTGCTAGCTGAGTCTGTCTATTTTTCATTTTCTACATTGACAAAAAAAAAGACTACTCTTGCACTTTTTGCTACTTGATTCAACCTATTTCCTTTTTTCTGTAAAATGATCATTAAGCTGAACTTTCCCAGCAGGTCTGTTGCTTAACACAAATGTCTGTTGCTGGCTGTGACCGACGTTTACATGGCAGGCTGTGTGTAATGAGTAATGCCATTCATCACATTTTTTGGTAAAGATCGACTCTGTCACTGGGGAATAAGTGGTTTAGGAAGCGGGGAATGAGGAGCTTCCTGTGAGTGACTGAGGCCAGAGGGAGATAAAGGGGAGCCTCAACACTCCCCTTCCTGTCTCAGTACAGCGGGGAAAAATAAAACATGTTGCCGGGTCATTTATTTCCACAGCACCATTAAGTCATGACATAAAGACCCATAGACACACAGGAACACACACACATAGAAGAAGACACAAACACACAAGCACACTAGCCTACCCTTTGCTATTTCCTACCCTACCAATGAAAACCAATATTTGAAGTCCCCTTATAGACGTTCCTTATCAAACAGTAACAAAGTGCAGTCACTACATTCATCTTTATGTATGGCAGTATTATTGACTGGGGTGAAATGAGCCAATAGGTGAGTGTATTAAATGGTGTCAAGGACGGATTGACCGTCAAGCTCTTACCCATTCTGCATTGCAGCGGGATCATATGTTAACGCCATGCCAGTCTGAAAGAGAAGAAACAATAAACACGCAGGATTAATCAAAAATTGAAAGATCAGGATCAGAGAAAAACATTCACTTGAAAACACTGAAAAAAGCTTTATACGTAAGGCGTGAAATACTAAAAACCTGAACCAGAAATCATGCACACTATCTGTTATTTTATTGAGTCACATCATTTTAGTAGGTAGAGGATTGTCAGGGAAGATTAATATGTTGTTCTAAATGGTATTGGACATGTGCATGTACATTGTACCGCATTCTGTCACTGTCATCTGTGTGTTACTTTGTGTCGGTGTGTTCAGATTGTCTCTGGGAACTCAGTCGATAAGTTCCTGCATCAATGTCAGCGCGATAATTCGCTGTACCTTTATTGTACTTGGGGAATAACGCGATTTATTCCCTAATTCTCTTTGTTCAAAAAAAAATTCAATCAAATAAAAATCAACTCATTTTAAAATTGGAGAACTGACAAGTGACAAAGCCAATGCGGGGAAAAGCTTAGTCAATAGGACAAAGTGAATTGGTATTGAAGACGTGTCTTTTTCTATTTCAATCACGTGCAGTCAAGTATTTATTTATGAATGAGAGGAAATTAAGAAATGCCCTTTGGATAGAAAAAGGGTAAGCGGAAAACTGAGTTCTTTGTCTGCTGAAGGTGTGTGTGTGTGTGTGTATACAGTAGGTGTATGTGTGTAAGTGTGTGTGAGGCCCTCTTAGAGTCCAGGAGAGAAACCTGTGCGCCGCAATCCGTCATCTGCATTCCTGAAGGTTCTCTCCCGGAGGAGAGCTAATCCGATTTCTTTTAACGCGAGGCTGCTGAGGACGGCAGATTTCATCAGCATACACTTACACACACTCCTTTTTCTTGCCCTTCCACTCTCTCACTCTGCTCTCCTTTCTTCCTCCATCATCTTGTGCTCTCTTCCTTTCTCTCCTTGCCTTCCTCTCTTCATCCCTCATCTCTTAATCTACCCTCCTCCTGTCTTTCTGTACCTTGTATGTGCCCTTGTTCCTCCAGGGTTCTACCTACAGTACACTGAGCTTTAGCGTTAAGGGAATAGTGGCTCAGAGGAGCAGGGGGGGGTCAGTGAGCCCGGACTAAACCCACAGCAGTGAGCAAAAGCAGGGAATCTATACAGAATAAATACAGTAGTGATGTGTGGATGCATGTTTGAGTGGCTGTAGGCTTATGTGTTCAATTTCTGTAAGAGTGCACACGAAGAGCTAGTTAAAAAAGGCTTTCAGAGACAAAGTATGCAGAGTTAAAGCCAAATGAAGGGACACCAGCCCCTGTTTCTTCCACTTTATTAGTGTATTTTAACATTCACTCCTTTTCTATGACGTTGCGAAGGTCTCTGTGTTTGTATTATTAAACCAGTTTTACACAGGACATCAAGACTGCATTATTGTGTGTTAGAGCGTGTGTTTGAATGCACGCTAATAGCAGAGGCAGACGTGGCCATCTGTCTGCTGAGGCTGATGTCTCCCCTAAGTGCTGCCCTTGGTTGCATGTGCAGATGAATTCCACAGCAGAGAAGCTTCTGACCGGAGACCCTGCTCCACCAATGACTGATCACTGATGCAGTCAGCTTTTGGCTCTGCTACCAGGAGGAAGGAACAGACAGAGACAGTCTGTGTGTGTTTTTTGTCTGAGCTTGATTGAAGACTGAAACAAATTGATACTGTACAGATCTCGTGAACAAAGCTTGGCCCTGAGAAAAGCTGCCATGGAAAGGCCAGTCTTTTAATGAGAGAGAAGCTTTGCATGCTCATTTTGCATTTTAAATGAGGTCGTAATTGAGTTTTAGTCTTCACTTTACACAGTAAATATGATGATCTAACAGAACATTTCCGCACAACGATTATGGATTTAAACATTTTGCGTAATTATACCCATAACAATAAACGTTATGCCAAAATGTTGTTTAATGCCGTCTGTATTCACACAGATAAGCAGCAGAGAATGACTCAATTGTTATTTATGTAGTCAATCATTAAGTCAAGTAATAAACATTGTGAATAATGAGCTAGCATTCATTTATTTCATCTGTGCTCTTAGGTAAATAAAATGCATTTTGTCGTACGAATACAAGACAAAGGTGAACAGTTTTACTATACAAATAGAGCAGCTTTAAATAAAAAGGAAAATTGTGTGTGTAAATATAAGCATCCATGTGTTCAAAATGCAGATCCTACAAAAAGGGGGAAAGGGTGGTGTAAGGACAGCCTATGTCAGGCAGCTGTAAGGACACCCCTGATGTATTCGTATGCTGGAAATCTGATCTGAGCCATCGTATCAATGTCCTTACAAACACACACGGTTACACACACACACAGACCCACACCCTCCTTGTATTTTTGCCTCCCATACATAGATTTCCGCTCACTTTATTTTCTCCCCGCCTAGTGGCCACACACACACACACACACACACACACACACACACACACACACACACACACACACACACACACACACACACAGACACACAGACACACACGGACATCTGTCAGGCTTTCACACAGAGTGGAAAGCCGGATGTTTTTTTTCATCTTCACTCATTCCCCTAGAGTAGGTGCTTGAGAAGTGTGACTTTGAAAGTTTTTGTGTGTAGGAGTGTGTGTTGGTGAAAGGGAGCGAGGACGTGAAAAGAGAGAGGGGGAAAAGAATGAGCACCCATGGCGCTTGTCTGTTTGTGTGTGTGTGTGTGTGTGTGTGTGTGTGTGTGTGTGTGTGTGTGTGTGTGTGTGTGTGTGTGTGTGTGTGTGTGTGGCAAAATAAGGCAGTGACTAATATGTTTGTCAGCATGAGACAGCGAGAGACAGCGCTTTCTCGACTCCCACTTTGGATAGTTTACAAGAAAATCTGTCTTATATTTCTCAATCCTCACCATCAGCCCACCCTGCAGCACTCAACCCGGTGTATCCTGACTGATCATGCAATGTGTTCCCTCTCTCTTTCTTTCTCTGAGTCTCAGTGAGTCACTCGCTCTCTCTCTGTCTCCATATGTTGCTGTGGGAACTGGGAAGCCTTCAAACACGAGGAAGAAGAGACGGGGAGACAAAGTGGGAGAGAGAAGAGTGAGAGAAAGAGTGAGGTAAACTGTAGAGATGGGGAGAGGAAAGAGGTAGAGATAGGGATGGCGTGGGCTGCTGCTGCTGCCAGAGAGCGAGGTGAGGAATGGCCTCAGCTCTGACAGATGCAGTAACAAGTAATGCTTATCTCCCATCCCCCCCTGCCCTGCCTGTACAGCTGATCAATGACCACAAGGATGCACACACACACAACATATTATAAGGGCCTTTCTATTGAATGTGTAGGAGTGAACGCACACAGAATGCCAACGAGGAGCCACGACATGTCTGCAGATGGGCTGACTTGAGATCTGATCTCAGCCAGGTGTGAATGTGTTGTCTACAACCAACACATCTGTTAAAGGTCACACCAAGGGTTTATGGAGAGAGGTCTAGGTAACACGCTGACTAAGGATAAGCAGTTCATACAGTCATTCTTCAAAACATCCCTTTTATCTATGCTCATTATTGCTCTCTTAAGGAACGAGGCAGAAGAAGTTGACCCCTTTCCTCATTAAAGGACAATAATCTACTTAATTTACATTCTGAGTTTTGATCCTACATAGAAGAACCAAGGTGCTCAACCTGCTGTGACAGCAAAGGCCTTCTTTGTGATCAAATGTCAATATACAGATAACATATCAGACTGCAATGCAAGGTGTAAATGAGGTCTAATCTTTTAAAACTCACCCATAACCTTTGCACTATTTTACTTCATTATTCTATCATGTCTTAAGTGCATTGAATATTACAGTGTGTGAGGAGCCTTGGACCAAAGGTTTTGATTGCTAAGCACTTCTCTGTGGATATTGCTATATTGATAAAATTGTCAAATAATATTGACAGTAAAGCCTTTGAATGTTATCCTTTCAACTGGTAATCACTTTTATGGATGAGAAAAACACATGTAACATTCTAACAAAGGATAATATACTACAATACTTCGTCCTTTCCTTTCTAGCCCTATTTGTGATGCTGTTTTTTAAATGTATTTCTTGTTTATGTACAGAGCTATTTGAGATGATGAGGCTCTGCAAGTTACAATACAAGTAATTTATGATAAAACCTTTCAGCTCCATCAAAACAAATCCCAGAGCTCATAATGACATCAATAGAGCACACCTGGTCTATTTAATGCAAGTACACAAGGGAAACACTACTCACATATTACTGATGATGAATCAATACAGAAAAGCAACTGATGTGTGTGGGAGCCTCTTTCTCTTTATTTTATTTCCCCCCCTTAGTATTGTGTCTTGAAATGTGGTGCTCTTCCAAAACATATTAAATTGTATGGAGGGTAAAAATGATTTAACAAACAAAAGTTTTCCAACAATAAAATATAGAAACATAAATAAATGTTTTAATTGAAATCAGAAACGTAAACCGGGTTTTCTACTGGAACTAATTCTAGCTTCTTTTTAAATCCGTACCCATATTTCAAACATTTCTCTGTGAAGTGTGGGGGCTAAATATGTAAAGATCCTCAAGCATAGAAAACCACAGCACATAAAGTCTCACACATACAAACAAATAAAAGTCTACTGTACATACTGGAGCTTAATGTTCAGCCACAGATTAACACATTCACACACACTGCCTTGAACTCAGGTTGTTAAACCTCCGCCTCTCAGCCATGTCGCCGCGCCTTATCCCAGAGTAATGTGAAATATATCGGGGGGAGGGAGGGGGACAGAGATGGAGATGGAGGGGAGGAGAGGGGGACAAAGATGGAGATGGAGGGGAGGAGAGGGGGATAATAAAGAAGAGGGATTTATCTCTTACTAAGACAACAGGAAGAACTTTCAATGAGCTGAAACAGAATTGGTCTTGTATGCATTTGGCCCGCCCTAACACACATTAAATGTGTCTCTCCCTTTTTAAGGTAAGCCCATAGTTAATATCCTTATTCGAGGAATTTTCCTTAATTCGACTTCTTAGATGTGTGTTTAGTAATCCCATTTCCAGTATTGGAAAAATATGTCTTTTGGATTGAATCCAGGAAGAGTAATGAGTATATTTAGAGAATAAGAAATATATTAACAGATTTTACTGAAGGTAGGATCTGTGTGACAAGTTACAAAATATAGTTTCTGTATAAGGGTTGGGATATATACACAGCAAAAGCACATGAATTGGGTGTCTCCTCCATGTTGACAGTATATCATTTTACCTTTATCCTTAACACACA